AACAAGGGGACAACATTTGCTAGTCTCCAGTCTTCTGGCACTATTCCTGTAGACAATGACGACATAAAGATCAAAGAGAGATTTAAAAAAGAGATGCAGGGCAATTTTTTTTACACAGTGGGTGGTTCACGTGTGGATTGAACTTCCTGAGGAAGTGGTAGATGTGAGTACAATTCCAACATTTAAATGATACTTGGCTAGAGAAATAGGAAAAGCTTAGAAGGATATGGGCCAGAAGCAGGCAGGTGGGACTAGTTCGGTTTGGAATTATGTTCGGCATGGACTGGTTGGACCGAAGAGTCTGTTTCTGCACTGTGTGACTCTGTGACTCTATATGAAGGTACTCCCTGCTCTGCTGCAAATTACTCCCTTACACCTCAACATCCCTCAGCACTGACCCACGACAGTGCGGTTCTCCCTCAGCACTGACCCACTGACAGTGCGGCGCCTCCTCAGCACGGATCCTCCAACATTGCAACATCTGTCAGCATCTCTCTGACAGTGTGGTGTTCCCTCAGGACTGACCCTCAGTGGAACTGACAGTAGTGATTTTGAGACGGTAATGGGGTGTTTGATTCTGGGGACGGAAGATACACGTGTCTCACCGACAGATGAATGGTGTATTGCTCACACATCGTCATCTTCGTGGAGTGCAGTCTATTGGTGGTTAATTTTCTGGCAAAGCTCAGGAATGTTGCTCGGCCCTGTTGCCGTCCAAAGTCCAGGAACAAATTATACGTGACATTGGCTTTGAGTTCACCTGTAAAGACAGGGGGCACCTATGGAGATTAAAGTCCTTAAAGAGGAGCGTGACTCCAGCTCCATTTGAATGCACACTCACTCAGCTCACTCACTCCATCGATAATTCTGCACTTTGCCCTTAAGGATTTCAGTCCTGGCCGGAGAGGCTGCTTAGGGAGATTCACCAGGAATTTCTGGGGGTTAGATTCATCAGATCATGTGCCAAGAACAGGAGAAACTCAGATCTATCACCTCGGAGTGTAGAATGTGGAGGGGGAAGTTGTATCAAGGTGTTTGAGATTATGAAGGTGGTTTCAATCGAGTTGATGAGTGGAAACTATTCCCAGTGGCTGGACAGGATTCAGCTTTCTATCTCTGTAACCTCCTCAAACCTCTACACTCTTCCCTATCTGTGACCTCCTCCTGTCCCTGCACCCTTCCCTAATTCTGTAACTTATTCCAGTCCCCGACATCCCCTCCCCATCACTGTAACCTCCTCAATCCCCTTCATTCCCTCCATATTTCTGTATCCTCCTCCGTCCTCTACAGGTCTCCCTACCTTGTAACCTCCTCTAGCCCCTACACTCCTTCCAATCTCTGTAACAACTCCAGGCCCTACACCCCTCCCTATCTCTGCAACCTCCTCCAGACACCGACACTGCTCCCTATCTCTTTAACTCCCTACAGAATCCTACACCCCTCCCTATCTCTGTAACCTGCTCTAGCCCCACACCCCTCCCTATCTTTGAAACCTGCACCAGTGCCAATCGCATGCCTTTTCCCATATTGCTGCACATCATTTCGATCAAAACAACAACTCAATACCACTCTTGAATGCCTGAAATGATTCTGTCTCCACTACATTTCCAGGTAGTGCATTTGACAGCCTAACTACTTACTTGCTGAGAAAGGTTTTTCCTTGGTTCAGTCTTGCTTCATTTGCACATCACTTTAAATCTACGTCCCTCTCATTCTTGTTCCTTTAGTAGGTGGGAACAGCTTCTCCCTATCTCCTCTGACCAGCCACAAAGTACAAAGAACAATACAGCACAGGAACAGGCCCCCTGGTCCTCCAAGCCTGCACCTACACATTTTTTCCCTTCCATACTAAAACGGTCTTCACTTACGGGACCCATATCCCTCCATTCCCTTCCTATCCATATATTCATTCAGGTGCTTCTTGATTGCTGCTATTGTGTCTGCTTCCACCACCTCCTTTGGCAGCTCGTTCCTGGCACTCACCACCCTTTATGTGAAAAACATGCCTTGCACATCTCTTTTAAACTTCCCCCCTCGCACCTTGAACCTGTGTTCCCTACTAGTTGACCCCTCCACCCTTGGTAAAAGCCCCACACTTTCCACTCTAGCCATGTCATTCACAATCTTATAAACTTCTATCAGGTCACCCCTCAAACAAAACAAATCCAGCCTATTCAACCCTTTCTTCATAGCCAAAATCTCCCATTTCAGACAACAACCTGGTAAATCTTTTCTGTACCCTCTCTGGTAGTGTGGTGACCAGAATTGTATGCAATATTCCATGTGTGGCCTAACAGAAGTTCTATAAAGCTGCAGCCTAATTTGTCTATCCTTAGACTCATTGTGCTTTCCAATGAAGACAAGTGTGCTATAGGCCTTTTTTACTACCTTATCTACCTGCGCTGCACCTTCAGTGATCTGTGGACCTGCCACCCGGATCTCTCTGCATATCAATACTCCTAAGGGTTCTGCCATTCACTGTATAATTTCCACCTGTACATGATCTTCCAAAATGCATCACCTCACATTTGTCTGGATTAAACTCCATCTGCCACTTTTCCACCCATGCCTCCAACTGATCTATAGCCTGCTGTATCATCTGCCAGTCCTCCTGACTATCCACAACTTCAGCAATCTTTGTGACACCTGCAAACTTGCTAATTAGACCAGCAACGTTTTCCTCCAAGTCATTTATGTAAACAACAAACAGCAGAGGGCCCAGCACTGATCCCTGTGGAACAACATTAGTCACAGCCCTCCATTCTAAAAAGCATCCTTCCACCGCTACCCTCTGTCTCCTATGACCAAGCCAGTCCTCTATCCGTCTTGCCTGCTCACCCCGATACCATGTGATTCACCTTTTGTACCACACTGCCCTGAGGGACCTTGTCAAAGGCTTTGCTGATGTAGACAACATCAACTGCTTTTCCCTCATCAATCGTCTTCATCACCTCCTCAAAAAACCCGAAGATGTTTAGTGAGACACAACCACCCCGGCACAAAACCATGCTGTTTATTGCTAATAAGTCCACTTGCTCCTAAACACTTATAGGTCTTGTCGCGGAGAGTCTTTTCCAAAAATTTCCCAACCACTGACGCTCCATGATTTTGAAAACCTTCATCAGATTTCATCTCCGCCTTCTTCTCTCCAAGGAGAACAGACCTAACTTGTTCATGATCCTCTAGACTGAAGTTTCTCATTCCTAGAACCATCTTCGCAAATGTCTTCTGTAATCTCTCTCCAAAGCATTCACATCTTTCCTATAATGTGACACCCACAACAGTACAGAATACTCTAACAATGGTCTTATATAATTCCAACATCACCTCCTTGTTCTTGTAATCTATGCCTTTACTAATAATAAAGCTAGGAGCACTGTATGCTTTATTTCCTGCTCTCTCCCCCTGTCCTGCCATCTTCAATGACCTGTGTACATATACCCGCAGGTCCCTCTGCTCCTGCACCCCATGTAGAATTGTACGCTTTGTTTTATATTGTCTTTCAATGTTCTTCCAAGCAAAGTGCATCACTTCACACTTTTCCCTACATTAAACTGTATCAGGCCCCTATCTGCCTACTCCATCAACTTATCAATTAATACAATGAGCAAGTTTGGAATGACAAATCTCGTTTACAATGGCGACCATGTCTCTGTCATCGATTGTCTGAAAATCCCACTTGCTACATTGGTGACCCCACCAGGGAAGGAAATTGGCACCACCCCCAAGTCCTGCTATACCCGCTTCTGACCTCCACGTACCCCATCGACCCCAGCCACTCACCAAGGTTCCCCGGTGCCAGGCTTGCCATCCGGAGACACACAGTGACGTTGCTGATCAGTGAGCCGGGCTCCACTACCTGGTGACACCGGTACAGAGCGAGTGGGATTGGCTGAGGATGGAACACTGCACTGGCAGAGAAGTTGACGATTGGCCGGGTGCTGCAGAGGATGAGAACGGAGGGCACGAGGTGGAGAGGAGAAAGGGAGAAGAAACAGGTGGAGAGGGGGATAGAAGAGGCAAGGGGAGAGTAGGGGTGGTGAGGGGACCGTGGGTAGTGGAGGGGAGGGGGTTGTGGGAGGGGAGGTTTGGGGAGGGGAGGGGAGGGAGGGGGTGGGCGTAGGGGAGAGGGTGGAGATGGGGGAGGAGGTAGGATTGAAGGGGGTGACGGGGAAGAGAGGTGAAAAAGGGGAGGGAGAAGCAATGGGGGGGAGGGGAAGAGAGGCAATGGGGTGGGGAGAGGGATAGAAGAGGCGGGTGAGGAGGAGAAAGGTGACAGGGAGGGGAAAGAGACGTGACAGGTGGGGAGAAGGATAGAAGAGGTGGGGAGAGAGGCAACAAGTGGAGCGGAGAGGTGATGGGGTGAGGGGAGAGAGACGACGGGGTGGGAAGGGGGATAGAAGATAGGGGTGGAGTTGGGAGAGGAGAGACGGGCAAGGGGAGAGAGGAGAGACAGGCAAGGGGAGGGAGGAGAGACGGGCAGAGGGGTTTGTGAAGAGACGGGGGTACGGGGGAGTTGGAGAGGATGGGAGGGAAGACATGTCAGACAGACAGACTGCTACGTTCAAAATCCTGACCCAGAGCGGACTGGACAGTAACCGAGCCAGAGTCCGTCCGCAGACCCCACACCACCCGCCAACCCCAGCACTCATCCCTTACCACCTCCCCCAATCCCCAATAGCCCCCTCACCCCTGATCCCTACTCTTCCACTCCCACGCATGAGCATCCTCCACACCGACCCATACCCCACCCCAACTTTTGTGTGCATGCGCGCGTGCATGTGACAGACCATGAGTATGTGAGACCCTGTGTGTGAATGTGTGTGTGTGTGTGGTGTGTGTTTGGGTCTGAGAGAGAGGGGGTGGTGGGGGGGTGTGGTGTGAGGGTGGGATTCTGTGTGTGTCTCTCGATGCAATAGTGCATGTGCATGCAGCCATGTGTCAGTATATGTGCAGTAGTGTATGTGCGTGTGTGTGTGCGCATGCGTGTGTAAGAGAGAGAGAAAGAGTGTGTGAGTGTCTGTGTATGTTGGGGGAGGAGTGGTTCTATGTGGACATCTGGATGCTGTGTATACATTGTACAGGAGCAGACTGCATTACGATATGCTGCTCGTCAAGCAGGGCTCCTACCGAAACACAGTCACCATGCCGAGAGAACCAATCACAAGGTCAGTCAGCAAGTCACCGCTCACATCCATCACACCACTGACAGACTGGCCAAAGTAGGTCAGCGACGGAGACTGCTTCACCCCCTCGAGACACTGTGGAAAAACAACAGGAGGCTAGACGGAGAGATGGCAATGGGAAGGTGTGAGACAACAGGGAGGGAGATTGGGCTGGAAACAGGGAGGGAGGCAGGAAGGACACAGCAGGAGGTAGAGGAGGAATATTGAGCAGGAGGGATGCAGACAAACTGACCTTGAACAAAGGAGAAAGGGGACAAGGGAGTAGGAAAAGATTCAGGCAGATGAGAAGGTTGAGGAATAAAATGAGGGGTCAACCTCTCATCATTTATCACAGCACCCAACGTCCAAAACCCCAGTTACGCTCACTCCATCTAATTTTACAACTTTCACAATGCTATGCTATGCCCTATCTCTGTAGCCTCTCCAGCCCCTACAATCCTCCCTATCTCTGTAACCTCCTACAACCAATACATCCCCTCCTTATCTCAGTAACCTCCTCCAGCCCCTACAATCCTCCCTATCTCGGTAACCTCCTCCAGCCATGCATCCCCTCCCTACCTCTAACCTCCTCCAGCCAATACATCCCCTCCCTATCTCGGTAACCTCCTCCAGCCCCGACACCCCTCCCTATCTCTGTAACCTCCTCCAGCCAATACATCCCCTTCCCATCTGTAACCTCCTCCAGCCAATACATTCTCTCCCTATCTCTGTAGCCTCTTCCAGCCAATACATCCCCTCCTCATCTCTGTAGCCTCCTTCAGCCAATACATTCCCTCCCTATCTCTGTAGCCTTCTCCAGCCAATATATTACCTCCCTATCTCTGTAACTTCCTTCAGCCAATACATTCCCTCCCTATCTCTGTAACCTCCTCCAGCCCCTGCAGTCCTCCCTATCCCTGTAACCTCCTCCAGCCCCTGCAGTCCTCCCTATCTCTGCAAACTCCTCCGTTCACAATGCACAGGGATATTGTCTCTGACCTTCAGAAGGCCCTTGTGAAAACATTTTCCTCACACTTTACTTTCCTATCGTCCTTTAAGCGAAACACTGACATTACTTTCTGGTAATCTAACATCTGACGCCCCTGTAGCCCCCCACACTCTGTCCTCCCTGTTTCCCACACTCTAACTTGATTGTGTCATGAATATCTCTGACCTTTGACCCGTTTGATCATGGTCACTCTGACCACTGATGCCTGTATCTGGCCACTCTTACCTGTTCATTTGCGGTCACTTGACCTTTGCCCTCTTTGTATCCAATTACCCTGACATCTGACCCAACTGTTTCTCGTTCCTCTAACCTCTCCGTGTCTATCCAGTCCCTCCAACCTCTGACCTGGCTATTTCAGGTCACTCTGAACTGGCGTGTTTGATTACTCCGACCTCTGACATGGCTGATTCAGGTCTCTCTGACCTCTGACCTGGCTGTATTGGAGTTTGATTCCTCCGCTCTCCCCATGGAAGATATAGACTCTTCCACGATGCTCATCCTCCAAAGGGGCTCCGATCGCCACATCACTTAGTCCGTCCCCATTCAGGTCACTCAGCACCGCCACGGAGCTTCCGAAACGACCCAGACCACTCTCTTCAGCTCCTCGGAGGGAGTGTCCACACGAGAAATTACCCTGCACAAGGGAGGGAAGGGGCAGAGGGAGGGAGAGAAGGGGCAGAGGGAGGTGGACAGGCCAGATTTGGGGTGGGACAAGTGGGAAAGACAGGAGGGAGGGATGGAAGGAAGAGAGAGGGCACCAGAGGGAGCGGTAAGGGGAAGGGGGAGGAAACGGGAGTGAGGAGGAATGGGAGGGAGTGAGGAGGAATGGGAGGGAGTGAGAGAGGGGATGGGAGGAGTAGAGAGAAGAGGAACAGAAGGAGAGGGAGAGAGATAGAGGGAAGGGATGAGTGGGACCAGGAGGAAGGAGAGAGAGGAGGTTGGGGGTGGGGGGGCGGCGACAGGAGGGAGAGAGGGAGGTGAGAATAGGGGAGAGAGAGAGACAAGGAGGATTGGGGGCAAAGACAGAGAGAGAAGGGAAGGAGAGAAGGAGAAAGCAAGAAAGATAGGAAGACATTTTGGGGAGAGGGGAAGGGAGGGAGAGAGGATGGATGTGAGAAACAGGGTGGGGTGGGAGAGAGCGGAGGTGGGAGAGAGAGAGGTTGGAGCGGAAGCGGTAGAATGGGACAAAAGAGAACATTGCAGAGTTAGAGAGGAGAAAGAAGAAAAGAGAAAGTGGGGGAGATAGAGAGTGGGGGAAGAGAGAGTGCAGGAAGAGAGAGTGGGGGAAGAGAGGGTGATGGATAGAGAGAGGATTGGGTGTGAGAAAGGATGGCAGGAGAGAGGGTTGGGGAGAGAGAAGGTGTGGAGGCAAGAGAGAGAGAGACAGCGCATGTCGGGGTAGAATGAGAGAGAGATACAGGGAAGGAGGGTGAGGCAAGACAGAAATAAAAGTATGGAGGAGGGAGATCAAAAGAGAGCACGGAAGAGAGAAAAGGAGTGATAAACAGAGAGGTGGACAGAGAGACGGAGGGAGAGGGTAACAATGAAAGAGAGGAGAGCACGAGAATATCAGGGAGAGATGGATTGTGGAAAAGACACATTAAAAGATAGGCAAAACAGAGAGGATAGAGAGATGGTGTGAGAAAAGTAGACAGAGGTGGAGAGATGGATGGCAGAGATAGAGAGTGAGAGATGGAAAGTGTGAGTAGACCAGGGAAGTGAGAGAATGGAGGTGGGAAGGATTAGAGATTTAGAGTTGGAGGAAGAGAGAGAATGAGATGGGATACGGGGAAGGACAGATTGGATGATACAATAAGAAAGGAATGGTGAGAGAGAGAGAAAGAGAAAGATAAAGAGGTAGAAATGAGAGCAGGAAAGAGGAGGGGAGAAGGAGAGAGTAAAGGGGTGGGGTAGTGGAAGCAAGGAGATAAAGGGAGTCAGAGATGGACTAACAGGATTTTTATATTCCCTGGCTCTCACTTTCCTCCTCTCTCTTTACTTCCTTCTGTGTCTCCCTCCATCCTGTCATCTGCACGTGGTCTCCTTCACTCTCCCATTGCCTCCCTTCAACTCTTCCTCGCTCATTCCTTACTCCATTATTCCCCATAACCCACTGCCCCTCCCCTCTACCCTTGCCAATTCCCTCACCACTTACCTTTCTCACACGTTCCCATCCTCACCCTTTCACTCATCCACCCATGGCCCTTTGCTCTGTCTACATCTCATCCATTCCTCCCTGGTTCCCTCACTTTCCACTTCCCTCCCATTCTCATAATGTAGAGTGGGAGTGAATGGGAAGTGGCTTATGCCCATTGCAATTGTGTTAAGTCAGATTGGATGGAAAGGGGTTTGGATCCATTGGGATTGTATAGAGTGGCAGTGAATGGGAAAGGATTTAGGTCCATTGGGATTGTGTAGAGCAGGAGTGAAAGGGAAGGCATTTGGATCCATTGGGATTGTGTACAGTGGCAGTGAATGGGAAGGGTTAATCCTCATTGCTTACCTGTGGAGACATCGTGCAGACAAGAACCATGCCCCCGAAACGTTGATATTGATGGAGAGGAGCTCCAATCAACAGAAGGTCGGTCTCTCCATTCCCATTCACATCCATGGTACAAAGCTCTGAGCCAAAGTATGAGCCAATCTGGAAGACAGGTTGATGCAATGTTACTGATGACATGAGAATTTCTCCAACACAAAGACAGCCAGCTGTTTATCATCTGTACCAGAACAGCTCAGAACCTGGGAATCGTGCAGGGAGTAACTCACCTCCCGACTCCCCAAAGCCTGTTCACCATCTACAAGGCACAGTCAGGAGTGTGACGGAATACTCCCCACTTGCCTGAATGGATACAACTCCAACAACACTCAAAAAGTTTGAGACACCATTCAGGACAAAGCTGCCCGCTTGATTGGCACCACACCCACGAGCATCCAAGACTCAATAGCAGCAGTTCTACCATCTACAAAGAAATTCACCAAAGATCTTAGATAGCCCCTTCCAAAAGCAAGACGACATGGCAGTGCTACCTCAACACTGACCCTCTGATGGTGCGGCGGTCCATCAGCATTGACTCTTTGACAGTGGGGCGCTCTGACAGCACCGAACCCCTGGCAGTGTGGTGCTCCCTTAGCACCGACCCTCTGACAGTGTGGCGCTCCCTCAGCACCGACCCTCCGACAGTGTTGCGCTCCCTCAGCACCGAGCCTCTGGCAGTGCAGTGCTCCCTCAGCACTGACCCTATAGCAGTGCAGCGCTCCCTCAGCGCCGACCCTCCAGCAGTGTAGCGCTCCCTCGGCACTGACTGTCTGACGGTGCGGTGCTCCCTCAGCACCGACCCTCCGACAGTGTGGCGTTCCCTCAGCGCTGACCCTCTGACAGTGCGGCGCTCCCTCGGCACTGACCATCTGACAGTGCGGCGCTCCCTCGGCACTGACCCTCTGACAGTGCGGCGTTCCCTCAGCGCTGACCCTCCGACAGTGCAGGGCTGCTGCACTGATCTGTGACTGACAGTTCTGTGCGCAGTCGACTGTCCTACCTGCTCTCCTGGAATGCGCTGCCGGTTCTCCCAAGTGCCATTGCTCCCTCGCTGGAAGATGACCACCGCTCCTGTGTGCCGGTAACGAGGTGCTCCCACAATATAGTAATCCAGCCCTGACCGTGTGGCCTTTTGCACTGAGTATCCTGTCGGTAGATTGCAGTGGACAGTGTTGAGGGCAATTGAAACGGAGTTGAGGTATTTGAGATAAACAGCTAAGTGTTTGACTCTCATCTAAAGGAAGGATTTGGAATTATTATTAAAAATTTACCAGTTAAGGTATTATTGGATCCCGGGGACCATCGGACTGCTGGGCGACAAATGGTGGTGATTTAACTTGCGGGTTGCATTCCTCCATAGTAACCTCAGCTAACATGGTCTTTGAACCCACACAGTTGGTGTCACTCTGCATCGCCCATCAGCTAGCTAACCAACTGAGTTTAGTTTAAGAATAGAGTTAGCTTCACTTACAGGTTAAAAGAGTAGGGAGAGCTTTAGTCTGTGTCTAACCCCATGCTATCCCTTTTCTGGGAGTCTCTGATGAGGAGAGTGTACAGGTAGCTTTATTTTGAGTTTAAAAGCCTAGAGGCAACTTGAATTTCCGTTTAAAATATTAGAGATGCCTTAACTTGCATTTTAAAAGAGCAGAGGGGGTTTTACTCTCTAACTCCAAGCTGTCCTGGGAATATTTGATGGGGTCAGTGGAGATGGTTTTTATGTAACTTTTACCCAAATAGCTGTTTCTGAGGTCTCCATCCATAATGGTGATGTTGACAAAAGTCTCGTTGTCTCCTCGATAAAGTAACACTCCTCCACTCCATCTGTAAGCCCCCGGTGATCCAAGGACCACTGTATCCTGAAACAGAAACTCAATTGTCACCCTGAACTCTCTCCGAGAACACAAACTTAATCGTTGCACACAGATCTTACTAAGAACAGACACTCGATCGTGATCCACAGCTCTCGCTGAGGCCTTGTATCTAACTGCCATGTTATTCCCTCCTGCTGGACAAGTCAGGAAGCCCTCACACCATATATGTGTGTGCGTGTGTATGCATATGAGGGTGTGTGCGTATGCGTGTGTATGCCTGCGTATGTGTGTGTGTGGTTGAGAGAGTGTGAGAGTGAGTGCGAGGGTAACCCTGGAACTGCACCATCCAAAAAGACACGGCAGCAGACACATGGGAATACCATTCCCTGCAAGATCCCCGCCAGACCGCTCACTATCCTGACTTGGAAATATATCAACATTCCTTCAGTGCCACTGGATCAAAATTCTGGAATTCTGTCTCTAGAAGCATTGTGTGTCTACCTACAGCATGTGGACTGCAGCAGTTTAGGAAGGTAGCTCTACAGCGCCGTCTCAATGGGGCAACTAGGGATAGGCAATAAATGCTGTGTCTGGCCAGTGTTACTTTGAACTGTTACATATTTTCCTTGGTTAGACCACACTTGAGCACAGTCCACAGTTCAGATCTCTATATCATTCAATTAGACCATACTGGGAGCACTGTGCACAGTTCTGGTCTCTATATCAATCAGTTAGACCCCACACTGGGAGCGCAACGTATAGTTCCAATCTCTATACCCTTCAGTTAGACCACACTGTGAGCACTGCTCACAGTTCTGGTCTGTATATCCCTCAGTTAGACTGCACATGGAGCAGAGTTTGGAATCTGCTATTTCTTTATTCACTGTTGTAGAACATAGAACAGTACAGCACAGGAATGAGCACTTCGGCCCACGATGTTGTACTGAGCATGATGCCAAGTTAAACTAATCACTTCTGTCTGGCCTTGGTCCATATCCCTCCATTCCTTGTATATTTATGTGCCTATCTAAATGTCCCTTAAATGCCCTTGTGGTATTTGCCTCCACCAACACCCCTGCATTTCACACTGCTACCACTCTCTGTGTAAAAAACTTGCTCCGACATCTCCTTTGAACATTTCCCCTCTCACCTTAAATGCATGCCCCTTAGTATTAGACATTTCAACTCCGGGAAAGAGATTCTGGCCATCAATCCTATCTATGCATCTCATAATTTTGTAGACGTCAATCAAGTCTCCCCTCAGCCTCCACCACTCCAGAGAAAAAAATCTGAGTTTTTCTAGCCTTTCCTTATAGGTCATGCCCTCTATACCAGGCAGCATCCTGGTAAAGCACTTTTGCACCTTCTCCAAAGCCTCAACATGGCATCTTGACGCTTGTACTCAATTCCCTGACCAATAAAGGCAAGCATGCCATATGCCTTCTTTATTACCCGATCTACTTGCGTGGCCACTTTCAGGGAGCACTAACCTGAACCCCAAGATCCTTCTGTACATCAATGCTGGTCGGGGTCCTGCCATTAATTATATACTTTTCTTTAACATTTGATCTCCAAAAGTGCAGCACCTCACACTTACCCAGATTAAACTCCATCTGCCATTTCTCAGCCCATATCTGCAATTGATCTATATCCCACTTTGACAACCTCCTACACTGTCCACAATTCCACCGATCTTTGTATCGTCTGCAGACTTACTAACCCATCTATCTACATTTTCATCCATGTTATTTACATATATCACAAACAGGAGAGGTCCCAGTACAGATCCCTGTGGATCACGACGAGTCAGGGACCTCCAACCTGAGAAACACCCTTCCACAACTGCCCTCTGTCTTCTATGGGCAGGCCAATTCTGAATCCACCTGGCTAAGTCACCGTGGATCCCATGTATCCTAATCTTCTTGATGAGCCTACCGTGAGGGACCCTGTCAAAAGCCTTACTAAAATACATTTAGACAATATCCACTGCTCTACCTTCATCGATCACCTTTGTCATCTCCTTGCAAAATTCGATTAAGTTAGTAAGACATGACCTGCCCTGCACAAAGCCATGCTGACTGTCCCTAATTAGGCAGTGCTTTTCCAAATATGATTAAATCCTATCCCTAAGAATTCTCTCCAATAGCTTGCCAACCACTGGTGTGAGACTCTCAGCTCTACAGTGTACTGGATTCTTCCTATTTCCCTTCTGGAACAGAGGAGCAACATCACCTACTTGCTAGTCCTCCAGGACCTCTCCAGTGGCTGGCGAGGATGCAAAGATCTTGGTCAAGTGCTGCAGCAATCTCCTCTCTTGCCTTTCTCATAACCTGGGGTAGATACCATCGGGCCCTGGGTTCTGACCCATCTTAATGATCTTTAAGAGATCCAACACCACTTCTTTATTCATCCCAAAATGCCCTAGCATATTAGCATGCTCCGCACAAATCTCACTATCCTTCATATCCTTCTCTTGCGTGAATACCAATGCAAAATACTCATTTAGGATCTCAACCACATTCTCTGCCTCCAAGCACAAGTTCCCTCCTTTATCCTTGAGTGATCTTACCTTCCCCCTAGTTATCCTCTTGTTTTTAATGAATCTGTAGAATGTCTTGGGATTCTCTTTAACCCTAATGCCAACATCATTTCATGGCCTCTTCTTGCTATCCTAATTCCCTGCTTGAGTTCTTCCCTGCTTTCCTTAAATTCCTTATATTTAGCTTCCAAAACCTTACATATGCTTCTTTTTTCCCTTTTGACTAAATTCACCACCTCACTCATTATCCAAGGGTTCCTTACCTTGCCATCCTTGTCCTTCCTCCTTACTGGAACATGCTAGTCTTGAACTCTCATCAGCAGGTTTTTAAACTGTTTCCACGTGTCAAATTGGGACCTGCCTGATAACAGCTCCTCCCAATTAACACTCCCTAGCTCCTGCCTAATACTGACATAATTTGCCGTCTCCCAATTTAGTACCTTCTGATTTATTCTTGTTCATAGCTATCTTAAAACTTGAGGAATTGTGATCACTGTTTCCAAAATACTCTTTCATTGAAAGAATAGTCACCTGGACAGGCTCATCAGCCAGTACAAGGTTCAGTATGGCCCCTCCTCTACTTGGGACTATCCACATGCATATTGTTTCAAGAAACCCTCTTGGATGCACTTAACAAATTCCACTCCGCCTAATCCTCTTACTCTGAAGGAGTCCCAGTCAATATTGGGGAAGTTAAAGTCACCCATTAATGACAACATGTAGTCTCATCTCATTATGCATTTAACAAACCCACAGTTGTTTTAGCCAAACCTTTTTTTTTAATGTGCCTGCAGAAGCTTTTAAAGTCTATTTTCATGTTTCTGCTGGCTTCCAATCACTTTCTACTCTCCCTTCCACATCAGATTCTTGGTGTTCATTTCTATATCTTCGCAGCACCTCCCACACCTCAGAGTTACTGTTACGTCTAGCCACTTTGTACGCTATTTCTTCTAACCTTACACAATCCTGAAAATTCTTTGTTAGCCACATTTGATTATTTGCTTTTTAGTTTTTGCACATTGAAGGAATGGATAGTTGCTGTAAATCGTGGAATTTTGTTTTTCCTATGTCAAGTTATGCCTTTTGATGTATTTTCCCTATCCACCCCCACCAATCTTTGCCTCCAGCCTTCAGTCTTTGCCTTATGTAAATTTAACCCCCTTCGTTCAGATTGAACTGCCTCACCTAAACTTTAATGTAAATTCTTATCATATTCTGGTTTCTTTCTCCTCTAAAGGTTCTTTTTTTCCTGAAGACCGAAACGTCAACTTTCCTGTTCCTCTGATGCTGCCTCTGGCCTGCTGTGTTCCTCCACCTCCACACTGTGTTATCTCTGACTCCAGCATCTGCAGTTCTTGCTATCTCCAAAGATTGTTAATAAGCTATTTTTCAATACAGAGTGCTAGACCTAAAATAGCCCATCCTTGAGTTAGTTCCTGCTCCAAAAAACCACCTCTAACACATTCCAAAAACCTTTCCTCCACAGCTTTAATGCTCGGGTTGGTTGATCCCATTTATATGCAGATCCTCAGATAGCACCTTCCAAACCTACGATCACTTCCATCTCGAAAGACAAAGGCATCAGAGATATGGGAACACCACTACCTTCAAGATCCCCCCTAAGCCACTCACCATCCTGACTTGGAAATATATCGCCCTTCCTTCACTGTCACTGGGTCAAAATCCTGTAATTCTCTCCCTAATAGCATTGTGGGTCAACCCACAACAGGAGGACTGCAGTGGTTCAAGTAGGCAGCTCACCACCACCTTCCGAAGGACAACTAGGGATGGGCAAGAAATGCTGGCCAGTGAGCGACGCCAACATCCCATAAATGAATAGAGATAAAAAAGATTGAAGTCCCCCATAATAACTATGTTAGCCATCGTCCAAGCTTCTAAACTTCTCCCATCTCCTGTTTATTATTACCATGACCTACTGCTATTTGGGGGTTGATAATTAATTCCAACCAATGTCTGTTGCCCTTTGCTGTTTATGAGGCCCACCTAAACAGATTCCACTCATTGTTCGTCCAATCTATGATCCTCCCTTATTAAGCCTATCCTTTATCTTTGGCCCACCCTCAGTCCTCTTTCTGGTGTGATCTCTTGGATCCCGCTCCTCCTAAGGAGCTATATTCAACACATCCCAACAGACCAAGCAAAGCTCCCTGCAAGCATCCCAGTCCCAGTTAAGCTCATACAGATCCCACCTGAATCCTTTCCTCCCTCCTGCACCAGTTCTCCAGCCTCAATCCTGCTGTTCTTACGCTCACTTGCACTTGAAACTGGGAATCCTGATAATCAGTAATCCTGACATCACAGCTCTCCAGCTCGTACTTGATCATTTCCTTCCAAAATCCCTGATCCCAATTCCCAGTCACTCACTTAGTCTAAACCACTCCGAGAGAGCAGCTTGACTCCAGATGCGCAGGAGCCGACGGTGGCCCGGGTGCGCGGGAGCTGACAGAGCTCCAGTTCTCTCGGTTATTTCAAGGGGTAATTGTCCACTCACTGATGTCAGGATGGAGCTGAATCCTTCTTGGCTCATTTCATTCTTAAAATACGTGAGGTTCTCCGATCCATGGGCCCCTGTGGAACCCAGGAAGAATTGGAAGTTAGTTCTTTATGCATTATGGTCAGAATCTCGCTCACTCTCCGAATCTCTCTCACTCCCTCTCACTCCACCTCCTTCACTCTCACCCTCCCTGTTTTACACAATCTCAGTCTCTTTGTCTCTGCTTTACCCTCTCTCTCCTTCATTCTCTTAAACCCCCACTCGCTCTCTACGTGACTCACACTCTGTCTCCCCCACACGCCCTTCTCACTGTCTCCCACACTACCCTTCTCACACTCCCCACAACTCCCTTCTCACATTCCCCACACCCCTCTTCTCACACACCCCAACACTCCCCCGTTCCTCTCCCCCACACATGCTCTCCTCCACCACACACTCTCTCCCTGACTCTCTCCTCACCCCCACAATCTCACTCTCTCTCCCGCACTCTACCTCCATCACCTGCACCCTGAGACAGTACCCTCAATGGCAAAGATCTTGGCCTGCAGTTGGTCCTGGATGGTTTTGAGAGCATTGAAGTTTTTGATAGAGAACACGGTGTTGTTGGTGGAGTTTGAGGCAATGATCTCCAGCTCCTGTCGTCCTTCTGCGCTCTGAAAGTCAGGACCCACCTGGGAGGGAGGTGATGGGATGTGGAATCAAACAGGGTCAGTGACCAGGTTAAACACACCCCTCAGACCAACTCCCATCAGCTCAGCACCTTCTCTCCTCTCCCTCTGCACCTGACCCCTGGCCCGGCCGTTCACCTCTTCCCAACCGTTCACCTCTTCCCAACCTTCCTCCCCTCCTGACCCAGCCTCCACCATTCACATCAGATCACCTCTGACCTGGCCTCAGATCCTGAACCAGCTCGGACCTCTGACCCCTGACCCAGCCTCGGACCCCCCGACCCCAATCCAGCTTCATACCCTTGACACGTCCTCAAACTCCTAACCCGACCCCTGAGCCGTGAGCTGGCCTCAGTCTGCTGATCCGGACCGGGATGCCAGCCAATCCCATTCCCCCCCTCCCCTGTCTCAGCCGCAGCCTCACCCCGACAGCGAAGCGCAGGATTTGTTTGTCCTCAGCCAGGCGGATGGCCTTAGGGAACGTGGTGTCAGGATCATTTGACTTTCCGTCAGTGATGACCACCATGACCCGCTTGGAGTCGGTCCTCAGGCCACTGTCCTCCACAAAGATCTCCTCACTGGGGAAAGACACAGAGATTTCCTCATTTACATGTGTGTGTGTGTGTGTGTGTGTGTGGGGGCGGGGGGGGGTACGCTTGCACATGCATAATCCTGTGCCTGTGTGTGTAATTATGTACCTGTATATATGTGTGTGTGTGTAATCCTGTGTCTGTCCACATACTGCTCTCAGCTAGGTCTAATGTGGGACACAGAGGCCGCATATAAGACAGTGTGGAGCTTGAGGAACACAGCAGGCGAGGCAGCATCAGAGCAGCAGGAAAGTTGGCATTTCTGAAGAAGGGTCCCGACCCAGAACGTCAACTTTCCTGCTCCTCTGATGCTGCCTGGCCTGCTGTGGTCCTCCAGCTCCACAATGTGCTATCTCTGACTCCAGCATCTGCAGTTCTTGCTATCTCATAGAGAGACCACAACAATGCACACTGCTTCCAGTGTGGTGTAAAACATGTTACCGTGTTCCAGTTCAGTCTCTGTATTTTGAGTCTGATTTTTGTTTTTGCCATGTTGTTGTTGACGATGTTAATGGTAAGGTAGGATGGATGCTCGTTGTTATTCGTCAGGCCTCACTCTCTGTCGTTAATGTTACATCACAGTTTATCTTTCAGAGATAGTAGGAACTGCCGTGCTGGAGTCTGAGATAACAAGGTGTAGAGTTGGATGAACACAGCAGGCCAGGCAGCATCAGAGGATCAGGAAA